ATTCAGCACCACCAAACCAGTTCTACAACAAATGCTAAAGGAACTTCTCTAAGCGGGAAACACAAGAGAAGAAAAGGACCTACAAAAACAAACCCGTAACAATTAAGGAAATGGTAATAGGAACATACATATCGATAATTACCTTAAATGTGAATGGATTAAATGCGCCAACCCAAAGACACAGGCTCGCTGAATGGATACAAAAACAAGACCCATATATATGCTGTCTACAAGAGACCCAGTTCAGACCTAGGGACACATACAGACTGAAAGTGAGGGGATGGAAAAAGGTATTCCATGCAAATGGAAATCAAAAGAAAGCTGGAGTAGCAATACTCATATCAGAAAAAATAGACTTTATTTTTTATTAACTTTTCTTAAATTAAAATTCATTTATTTATTTATTATTTTTGGCTGTGTTGGGTCTTTGTTGCTGTGCGCAGGCTTTCTTTAGTTACAGAGAGCAGGGGCTACTCTTTGTTGCTGTGTGCAGGCTTCTCTTGCTGCAGAGCACGGGCTCTAGGCGAGTGGGCTCAGCAGTTGTGGCTCACGGGCTCAGGAGCACAGGCTCAGTAGTTGTAGCACACGGACTTAGTTGCTCTGCGGCATGTGGGATCTTCCCGGACCAGGGCTCGAACCCGTGTCCCCTGCATTGGCAGGTGGATTCTAAACCTCTGTGCCACCAAGGAAGTCCCTAAAGTAGACTTTAAAATAAAGACTGTTACAAGAGGCAAGGAAGGACACTACATAATGATCAAGGGATCAATCCAAAAAGAAGACATAACAATTATAAATATATATGCACCCAACGCAGGAGCACCTCAATACAAAAGGCGACTGCTAAGCTATAAAAGAGGAAATTGACAGTAACACAATAATAGTGGGGGACTTTAACACCTCACTTACACCAATGGACAGATCATCCAGACAGAAAATTAATAAGGAAACACAACCTTTAAATGACACAATAGACCTGATAGATTTAATTAATATTTATAGGACATTCCATCTAAAAACAGCAGATTACACTTTCTTCTCAAGTGTGCACGGAACATTCTCCAGGACAGATCACATCTTGGTCACAAATCAAGTCTTGGTAAATTTAAGAAAACTGAAATCATATCAAGTATCTTTTCTGACCACAACGCTATGAGATTAGAAATCAATTACAGTGAAAAAAACGTAAAAAACACAAACACATGGAGGCTAAACAATACGTTACTAAATAACCAAGAGAGCACTGGAGAAATCAAAGAGGGAATCAAAAAATACCTAGAGACAAATGACAATGAAAACACGCGATCCAAAACTTATGGGATGCAGCAAAAGCAGTTCCAAGAGGGAAGTTTATAGCAGTAAGATCCTACCTCAAGAAACAAGAAAAATCTCAAATGAACAATCTAACCCTACACCTAAAGGAACTAGAGAAAGAAGAACAAAACCCAAAGTTAGTAGAAGTAAAGAAATCATAAAGATCAGAGCAGAAATAAATGAAATAGAAACAAAGAAAACAATAGCAAAGAGCAATAAAACTGAAAGTGGGTTCTTTGAGAAGATAAACAAAATTGATAAACCTTTAGCCAGACTCATCAAGAAAAAGAGGGAGAGGACTCAAATCAATAAAATTAGAAATGAAAAAGGAGAAGTTACAGCAGACACTGCAGAAATACAAAGCATCATGAGAGACTACTACAAGCAGCTCTATGCCAATAAAATGGACAACCTGGAAGAAATGGACAAATTCTTAGAAAGGCATAACCTTCCAAGACTGAAGCAGTGAGAAACAGAAAATATGAGCAGACCAATCACAAGTAATGAAATTGAAACTGTGATTAAACATCTTCCAACAAACAAAAGTCGAGGACCAGATGGCTTCACAGGTGAATTCTATCAAATATTTAGAGAAGAGCTAACACCCATCCTTCTCAAACTCTTCCAAAAAGTTGAAGAGAAGGGAACACTCCCAAACTCATTCTATGAGGCCACCATCACCCTGATACCAAAACCAGACAAAAATACTACAAAACAAGAAAATTACAGACCAATATCACTGATGAATACAGATGCAGAAATCCTCAACAAAATACTAGCAAACAGAATCCAACAACACATTAAAAGGATCATACATCATGAACAAGTGGGATTTATCCCAGGGAAGCAAGGATTCTTCAGTATATGCAAATCAATCAATGTGATACACCATATTAACAAACTGAAGAATAAAAACCATATGATCATCTCAACAGATGCAGAAAAAGCTTTTGACAAAATTCAACACCCATTTATGATAAAAACTCTCCACAAAGTGGGCACAGAGGGAACCTACCTCAACATAATAAAGGCCATATACAACAAACACAGCAAACATCATTCTCAATGGTGAAAAACCGAAAGCATTTCCTCTAAGATCAGGAACAAGACAAGGATGTCCACTCTCGCCACTATTATTCAACATAGTTTTGGAAGTCCTAGCCATGGCAATCAGAGAAGAAAAAGAAAAAAAAGGAATACAAATTGGAAAAGAAGTAAAACTGTCACTGTTTGCAGATGACATGATACCATACATAGAGAATCCTAATGATGCTACCAGAAAACTACTAGAGCTAATCAATGAATTTCATAAAGTTGCAGGATACAAAGTTGATGCACAGAAATCTCTTGCATTCCTATACACTAAAAATGAAAGATCACAAAGAGAAATTAAGGAACCAATCCCATTCACCATTGCAACAAAAAGAATAAAATACTGAGGAGGAAACCTACCTAAGGAGGTAAAAGACCTGTACTCAGAAAACTATAAGACACTGTTGAAAGAAATCAAAGACGACACAAACAGATGGAGAGACATATCATGTTCTTGGATTGGAAGGATCAACATTGTGAAAATGACTATACTACTCAAAGCAATCTACAGATCCAACGCAATCCCTATCAAATTACCAGTGGCATTTTCTACAGAACTGGAAGGAAAAAATCTTAAAATTTGTATGGAGGCACAAAAGACCCCGAACAGCCAAAGCAGTCTTGACGGAAAAAAACAGAGCTGGAGGAATCAGACTCCCTGACTTCAGACTCTACTACAAAGCTATAGTAATCAGGGCCTTCCCTGGTGGTGCAGTGGTTACGAATCTGCCTGTCAATGCAGGGAACATGGGTTCGAGCCCTGGTCTGGGAAGATCCCACATGCCGCGGAGCAACTAAGCCCATCCACGACAACTACTAAGCCTGCGCTCTAGAGCCTGAGAGCCACAACTACTGAAGCCTGTGCGCCTAGAGCCCGTGCTCCACAATAAGAGAAGCCATCGCAACGAGAAGCCTGTGCACCACAACAAAGAATAGCCCCCGCTCACCACAACAGAGAAAGCCCGCACGCAGCAATGAAGACCCAACACAGCCAAAAATAAAATAAAAAATAAAATAAAATAAATTAAATTTATATTAAAAAAAGCTACAGTAATCAAGACAATATGGCACTGGCACAAAAACAGAAATATAGATCAATGGAACAGGATAGAAAGCCCAGGGATAAACCCACGCACCTGTGGTCAACTAATCTATGAAAAAGGAGGCAAGGATATACAATGGAGAAAAGACAGTCTCTTCAATAAGTGGTGCTGGGAAAACTGGACAGTTACATGTAAAAGAATGAAACTAGAACACTCCCTAACACCATACACAAAAATAAACTCAAAATGGATTCAAGACCTAAATGTAAGACCGGACATTGTAAAACTCTTAGAGGAAAACACAGGAAGAACATTCTTTGACGTAAATCACAGCAAGATCTTTTTAGAGCCACCTCCTAGAGTAATGGAAATAATAATAAAAATAAACAAATGGGACCTAATGAAACTTAAAACCTTTTGCACAGCAAAGGAAACTACAAACAAGATGAAAAGACAACCCTCAGAATGGGAGAAAATATTTGCAAATGAAGCAACTGACAAAGGATTAATCTTCAAAATTTACAAGCAGCTCATGCAGCTCAATAACAAAAAAACAAAAAACCCAATCCAAAAATGGGCAGAAGACCTAAATAGACATTTCTCCAAAGAAGACATACAGATTGCCAACAAACACATGAAAGAATGCTCAACATCACTAATCATTAGAGAAATGCAAATCAAAACTACAATGAGGTATCACCTCACACCAGTCAGAATGGCCATCATCAAAAAATCTACAAACAATAAATGCTGGAGAGGGTGTGGAGAGAAGGGAACCCTCTTGCACTGTTGGTGGGAATGTAAATTGATACAGCCACTATGGAGAACAGTATGGAGGTTCCTTAAAAAACTAAAAATAGAATTACCATACAACCCAGCAATCCCAGTACTGGGCATATACCCAGAGAAAACCATAATTCAAAAAGACACATGCACCCCAATGTTCATTGCAGCACTATTTACAATAATCAGGTCATGGAAGCAACGTAAATGCCCATCGACAGACAAATGGATAAAGAAGATGTGGTACGTATATACAATGGAGTATTACTCAGCCATAAAAAGGAACGAAATGAGTCATTTGTAGAGACGTGGATGGACCTAGAGGCTGTCATACAGAGTGAAGTAAGTCAGAAAGAGAAAAACAAATATCATATATTAATGCATATATGTGGAATCTAGAGAAATGGTACGGATGGACCAGTTTGCAAGGCAGAAATAGAGACACTGATGCAGAGAAATAACGTATGGACACCAAGGGGGGAAAGTCGTGGTGGGGGGTGGTGGTGGTGGTGGTGGGATGAATTGGGAGAGTGGGATTGACATAAAAAATAAATTAAAATAAAATACAATAAAAAATAATTTTAAAAAAACCCTAACATTTCTGTGGAAACTATTATATGTATGTATTGCTGAATCATCTTACTCTACACCAGAAACTAACACAACCTTGAAAATCAACTATACTTCAATAAAATAAATTTAAACAAAAAACAACAACAACAAAAAACAAACAAAAAAACTACATTACAAGAAATACCTAGGGAAACAAACCTGTTGTGAGAATCCACAGAAGAACTGGTACAAAAATTGTGGCAAAATGAAACAAAGGTTCTGGAAAAAAAAAATGAAGAAAAGGGTTAATGCTTTTCACTTGATCAACTTTCTAAAGTAAAACAGGAAACTCTACTCCAGATAGTCTACAGGCAGTCCTAAGTCCTTCTAATGTCACAATGCAATAAACCTCTACTCCAGAGTTGTAAGAAAACAATTCAAAACAAATAATTACATACATATTAATACCAACTTTTGCCCTACCAAGGCAGAAGAGGACCTCACTTACTTTATGAGACCCTCTTGCTATTCTTGTAGGGAAGAAATGAGCTCATATAATATGAACACCTAATGGTACTGCACCTTAACTGCCAAGTGGGTTTGCAAAATCATCACAAAGTAGACTGACATAAAGCTGTAAGTCTATATTTAAAAGTCAGTTAATGCCAATAAGTAGTCAGGAAATTATAGTGTATATTGACACGAACAAGTATCAACTAATGCTTTACTGCCTTTGTTACTGCCTCATCAAACAATTAACTGTTATTATTGATCACCTACTATATGTAAAGATGACGCTGTGGGTGATACAAAAAACAAAACTGCTTACTTCTAAGGGATTTAACGGGGAGAACACTAAAAACAAACATATTAAAAAAATACAAGCTGAGAATTCATAAGGCAGAAAAAGCCACTAGGTAAGAAGATAAATACTAAAATTAACGTCTTCAGGCAAAACCACCAGAACTAATATTTTCAAATGAGTGCTGTCCTTCAATATAGGCTGTGACTGTATTTCAGCGCTGCTGTCACTTGTTCATGGTGTCTCTGGATTTCTCTTAGGGCAGCACCTTCAACAGCTCTATATTCTTTAAAATAAATTTATTTATTTTTGGCTGCGTTGGGTCTTCATTGCTGCGCACGGGCTTTCTCTAGATACGGTGAGCCGGGGCTACTCTTTGTTGTGGTCCACGGCCTTCTCATTGCAGTGGCTTCTCTTGTTGTGGAGCATGGGCTCTAGGGTGTGCAGGCTTCAGTAGTTGTGGCACGTGGGCTCAGTAGTTGTGGCTTGTGGGCTCTGGAGCGCAGGCTCAGTAGTTGTGGCGCACGGACTTAGCTGCTCCACGACATGTGGGATCTTCCCGGACCAGGGCTTGAACCCATGTCCCCTGCATTGCTAGGCAGATATTCTTTTTTTTTTTTTAACATCTTTATTGGGGTATAATTGCTTTACAATGGTGTGTTAGTTTCTGCTTTATAACAAAGTGAATCAGTTATACATATACATATGTTCCCATATCTCTTCCCTCTTGTAGGCAGATATTCTTAACCACTTCACCACCAGGGAACTCCCCAATAGCCTTTTTTTTTTTTTTTTTTTTGCGGTACACAAGCCTCTCACTGTTGTGGCCTCTCCTGATGCGGAGCACAGGCTCCAGACGCACAGGCTCAGCGGCCATGGCTCACGCCCAATAGCCCATTTTTGAGCCATGTCAAAAAACCAGTCTCTTTCCTGCTCTCACACATTCTCACTTAGCTAATTTACCAGGCTGGGAGACTTGAGGCCGTTTTAAAAATCCAATGGATCCTTAAAGCATGAACAACTGCCGCAGCTGAGGATATTTAGGTAAATATATACTGCAGGCTCTGGAGGACATTTCTACAGAAAACTGCTACATGTATTTTAATAAGTCCTACAGCACCAGAGTATCAGAGCTCCCAAGGTTAGCACCTGGAAGGGCAACACTCATTCGTATCTATCAGTTCTGGCAGAATGCAAAATACTGTCTGTAGCCTTTCTAGAGTCATACTTTATGTATATAAAAGAAGTGTTCTGAGGTTGGAAGAGGCAGTGCTTGGTGTGGATTATGGGGGTGTTTTGTGGGAAGGGGAGGTCTGACCCTCCCATTAGAATAACAGTTCCATGAAAACAGGGACTTTGCCTGTCTTATTCCATTATGAATTCTCAAGCACCTGAAACAATGCTTGGCACATGGTAACACATTCAAACATATTTGTTGATTGAATGAATAAAGAAGTTAGACTTTGAACTAGGTGTTACAGATGAATAGGATACGGTGATAGCAGGAACCAAGGTAAGGCCTTATGTATTTTAAACATATAAGGTAGGGCAGGGTCAGACTGTGGGGTGCCTTAAAAGCCAGACTAACTTTTAAGACAATGGAGAGTGGAGTTTCTGGAGGACAAGTTGAAAAGTGGTATTTTCTAAACATTAACCTGGCTGAATTATGCAAGGAGGAGCGAATGGAGAAATAGAAAGCAGGAAGACCTGTCACTGCAGTACTCCAGGGGCGGGCAACAACTTGAAGATGCAATGGCAAGATAAGAGGAAGGCAGCCAAAGACGGTCAAAGGTATTAGAAATCATCTTGGGACAAAAGGCAGCACTTAAAAAGGAATATTGCTAAGTCAGTAACTAAGATGATAATGGGCATAGAGATCCTAATGAAGACAGAGGGCATCTACATAAATAATCCTCTAAATTGGGAACCAGGATATGTAAATTACTGACCGCTGGTAAATATTAGCCATTTTAATGCTTGTTTTGTTTTTCTTAACAGAGCATTCCTTCCATCTGGTGGCAGTTGCTTGAATTGCAGGCCAAAATCTTAAAGAGGGAAACCAAGCTTCTGGAATAGGATCAGATTGCTAGGCAGATCTGTACCGCAAATCTTCACAGGCTCTCCTACTAAGGGGAGGTAAGAGAGAATAACCATCCATCCCCACGGGGGGCTGTTAAGTTACTGAGTCCAAGGCCCCACAAACCTTAACTATATAAACAACATAACCACACTGAAATGGTGGAAAAGGAAAAAAAAAAGTAACTTTGGAAACAGTGTTTTGACTACATTCTCTAAGACTAAAGACAAAAACAAGTGCTCACAAATATATTTCTCAAGTTAGATTTGTTTCTCACAGGAGTATGAGTAGCAGTTCTGGAACTACTTTAAGTGTACTTGAGGACTTAGCAAATAAATAAACACTATGAGGATGAGAACCAGGTTTCTCACCACTGAAGAAAGGAGTTACTAAATGGAAAAGGGAAAGGTTACAATGAACCTTGTGCTGCCGGATTTAATCAAAGGCATCTGTATAAACTGAGTTCAAGTATTGAGTTTATACAGATACCTTTAATTTCAGCCCAACAACTTCAGCTCAGTAGCGATGAGCACAACTAGCACCCAGATCTTGATTTCTAAATACCATTTGCGAATAATGGAAAGGAATAAGTGATCCTTGCAGAAAAGTCTGAATGCATCTTGCCATTGAATTGCAAGAAAAATACAAGAGGAGCCTAGAACATCATGTGGTACCAGAAAATAAACAAGACTTCAAAAAAGGTTAGGGCCGGGGGAGGGGGAAGGGGTGAGGAGGGAGGAACGGAGAGTTGCTACTCAATGGGTATACAGTTTTAGTTGTGCAAGACGAGTAAGTACTAGAGATCTGTTGTACTTAACAGTACTGTACCATATACTTAATAATATGTTAAGTGCATAGAGCTCATGTTAAGGGTTATCACAATAAAATAAAAATTTTAAAATGATGGGGACATGGTGAAAGGAAACAGGCGCCAAATCTGTGACAATTTGAGTAACAGAATGAACAATGATAGTAATGAATTTCAACATAGAATAAAATATCTAGTTTAGCAGGAGAATGCTCTTTTCAAATGAAACTACACAGAGCAAAAATGAGGGGTCTTGAGACCCTCAGAACACCATCTGAACCAGCTTATCAAAGTTGACATTATCATGAGACATATTGACAACATGTGCCTCCGGATATGATGCATTCAGCAGGTTGCAATAGCGCTTCTGTGGTAATTGTGCCCAAATGCAAAACCTGAGTCTAATAATAGGCAAACATTAGACAAACCCAAATTGAGGGACATTCTACAAACTAAGTGGCCAGCACTCTTCAAACATGTTAAGATCATTAGGACAAAAAAGACAGGAACTATTCTAGGTTAAAGAAGACTAAGGAGATCATGATCCTTAAATGCAAGCATGAGCCTGAAATGGACCACAAAAAGAAAATCTGTGGGACCATTAGCAAAATTCCAGTACAGTATATAGACTAGTTAATAATGTGCCAATTAATATCAATTTACTGATCTTGGTAACTAAGTTGTGGGTTATCTAAGGTGTTAACAGTTGGCAAAGCTGGGCAAAGAGTATATGAGATTTCACTAATTTTGCAACTTTTAAAAAGTATGAAATTATCTCAAAACAAAAAGTGAAAAAAACTTTTAAAAACTATATAGAATAGAACATAGGACAGGAGATCAAGTTCTGGTACATGTCTAAAACAGGCAAACCTAACGCATATGTTGCATAAATTATATCTAAATTTATGTGCTATACGCCATATATGTTACTATATATCACAGAGTAATGTAAATCAGATTAGTCGTCGTTTGGTGCAGGGGTGGAGAAGACTGGAAAGGAGCACAAGTAAACTTTCTGGGGTGATAGAAATGGTCTATATTTGGTTCGGATGGTAGCCACATGGATGCATACATTTGTCAAAATTGAACTGTAAACATTTAATGGGTACATTGTACTGTATTTAAACTATAAGAAAGTTGACTCAAAAATTTTCATCTCAAATCTCCTGCATTAAAAGGAATTTCTGGTTTCTGATTCGTTAAATAGACTGCCTCTGTTTTGCTGACCACAAATTTCAGTACTAAGACAGTAAAAGAAACATGAAAAAAGAAGGAAAAAATACCTACAACCAAGCTGAGCCAATGCTGGGTTAAACAGTCATAAGTTAAATCACAAGTATTTCATCACATACCTTATAGAAGAAATACTGTACAAGGTGTGCTATTCTCACATAATAGAGGTGTCCGTGAGCCAACAGCAGTTTCTTTAAATGTTTAAACTTTGGGACAGAATAATCACTATTCCTGGCTGCTTGGCGACCTTCTTTGCCTTTGATACCTAAAAAAAGAAAAATCTCTATAGGGTGAGTATTTTTATAGAATAAGTAACCACCTGACTTGTTACTTTCGTATTTTTTACTTGCTTACATGTATAGTTCAGTTGAATAGTTTAGATTTGCCTTCTTAAGCAAAAAGTGCTTTCAACAGTGAGACTTACCAATAAAAAGTAAAATTATGTTTAATTGACAATTACCTATTTATAACAAAACATAAAATAATTAATAGAATCATTATTTTAATCATTATAAGGCAAAAATTATCCTGAGGAAATAGTTAAATCTGAAAATTATTTTAAAGGTACTTATTTAGTAAGTGATTAATCATGCATGGCACCAGACTAGGTGCCATACTAAAGCAACTCAGAGACCTGGGGATTATGGTCTAAGAGCTCAAAACTGAAGAGTTATAATGAGATGGTTAAGTCCTTATATTGAATGATACTGAGTAGTGGTTGGCAAACACTTACTCCGGTCCAAAATGTTCATAAGACAGTTGGTTCACACCAAAGATCCTTGAAATTTGGTCCTGTCCAAAACGTCAAGACATTTGGACTATAAGACAGTTGGTCCATGCCAAAAGGTCTTTAAAATCTGGTCCGGTCCAAAATGTCCACGAGCATATTTGGTCCATGCCAAATGGTTTTGGACAGGACCAAATTTCAAGGACCTTCTGCATGGACCAAATGTGCTATGGACGTTTTAGACAAGACCAAATGCCCTGCAAGGCTGAGTAGCAGTCCAAGTATTCCATGAGCTCAAGCAGCTTTAGGCCATTTCCACAGTCAATAACCAATGAATTGAACTAGAGTTCCACACTAAGTAGGGTTACTTGCAAATGGAAAGAATTTGGGAATCCAAACTGTGGTACAATAATCCCCAAGATACTATTTCCATTATTTCTCGCCCACCAAAAAACCACTTGCTGGGGTGTTAGGATTGCCTCCCAGCAGCCTGACAGGGGAAGAAAGGGTGCAGGTTTTGGAGAAGCTGGTGTTGCATGCCGACATGTAAATTCACCACTACAGCCCAAACCGCCATGCAGAGATATTGCCATGTGGAGAATCAGCCAGCCAATTATCGTCTCTCAGTCCCAAACAGTTACAGATCTCAAAAGATATAGTGCAGCAACATAAGCAGGCGATCTGGCCAGGGGCGAAAAATCAATAAAATTTCATGCATGCTGTCAAAAGTGAGAGCTAAATGATCAACTGCATGGCTAGTAGGTTTGGGAAATTCACTTTACTTGGCTAATATAATAATATCCTCCAACTTTGTATTGCTACATTCCCACCATGGGTAGGACTTTGGCATGGACATATTCCACGATCCGATGAGGACCTTCTTTTGATAAACAATGATCATTCCCAAATTCGGATTCAAGATGAGCAACCAAAACAATTTCTAGAATAATAAGACCACTCTACCTAAAAGCAGTACTGATACCTTACAGCTGCCATCTCATTAGATGTTTCTTACCTATGCCCACATGGGATTCCAAGATCATACTAACATCATTGGCACCATCACCTATCGACAGTGTTATTGGGCTGCCTTTTAAATTCTTCACCATTCTCACAATCTAAACATTAAATACAAAAGAGGTATAGAAAAGGTCAAAGCAGAATGTGAGATTGTACTACATTGTGGGTATTTGCCTCATTCACACTTGTAAATGGAGGCCTTCAAACAGAAAGGTAGCTTGTGCATATAAGTACAACCAGTCTTGAATTCTCAGGGGCAGAAGAACACAGCTTTTCAAAATGTAATACCGGCGCCCACTTGTTTCTGGTTTTGCGAATGTATGAACTGTCAAAAACCATGCCTCACACCTATATTAGAGGTCAGCACGCTTCCCTCTTTTGTCATTGCTTCCTGTGTCCTTTCAGATCACGTACTGAATGAGAGAAAGTGGAGACCAGAGAGCCTATTTGGGGAGACATGCATGGGGCTACCAGGACAAAAGTGGGCAGTGAGAGGACAATGTTTTTGGTTACCGCTCCCTCTCTCCTCCCTGTTGACACTCCCACCTCCCCTCGGTGCATGCCAACCCTTATTTCCATCTAGCTGCCGACTAAACTTTACTAAATCACCCAGTGCCCAATATGATATGATATGATCTCTCATACAGGTAGCTGCATTTCAAAAGGGGGCGCCTTAAAGGTGATGAGCTTTGCAGAAAGATGCCCGAGATATGTGTATAAAGGCTGTCATTATTCCCTGAGTGTCTCTTAAAGATGTGTCGATGGCACAGTGCAGCTCAATGCTGTGTTCACGGTAAGTACTGAATAAAAGAAACGTTCTCCTGGCAGAGTTACTTGTGGGAAGAGTATTGGGTAAGCTGCTGTCCTCCCACCGTATGTTTTAGATAATGACTGCTTTATGTGTCAACCCTCAAAACCCCTTGGAATCTAGCAGCTTTTAAAAAGCTTATGTAATTCAGTAGTTAAATAATGCCTTGCAAAAATTTTGTACCCACAATGGCTTTCACCAGGTAACATAAATAAAATCCATTTTCAGATAACTGATTAAAAAAATTTATACGAGGCAAAACCACCCTGCAGTCTTTTCTTTAAACAAAATTCAGTCAGGTTTTAGTTGTATAAAACAACATAACCAAAAACCCTTACATCCAATCCATTTGACACAAAAATGATGTTACTATGAAATGCCGGCTTTCTCCCAATCCTTCGCCTCAACTTGGTTCTTTTTAAAAACTTTATGAGTGTCAGAAATAATCTGTAAGTGAGTCATCCACAAAAGTAAACTTGTGTTTAATGGGCTACAATACTGGTTAAACTAATTGCACTTGTTATACTGTATGCAGTAATGATTTAAACCACAAGGAAGAAAAATGCAGCCAGGGAAGGCAATAAAATTATCAAGGGTGACAGCTTCTGCATGAAAACATAGATTTAAAAAGATGAAAGCTTGTCCTTGTGGAAAGATAAAAGGATATATTGTCATGGACCATAAAACCATGAAAGATCTAGGTAGATAAACACGGGAGTTTTTTTTTTACTGAGTCCCAGGTCACCTGGATTAAGAACTTCTCTTCAATCTCTAGATAGCTTCACAAAAAAGAAATCAATTTACCAAAAACTATTTATTGATCAACTATAACTACGTGCAATACAATGTGCAAAAGCAAAGTGCAAATATCCAGAAAGGATATACCGCTTGGTCTCATACCTCAAGAAGCATATAATGGGGAATGGATACAATAATATCAGATAATCAGATTAACAATACAAGATAACAATACACAATACCTATGCAAGGGAATATATAACACTGTCATCTAAGTTGTCCACATAAGAAGGCCCGTGATGTCAGAGAAGGGAGAGGACACTACATGCCAGAATGATCAGAAATGATTCTATAGAAGGAAGGGTGGTTTGATCTAAATCATAAAAGACTGGTAAGATGTGCATGGATGGGGAAAAGGGGGTTGGAGCAGTATCCCACGGAAAGGGAAGAGCATAGCATGTTCTAAGGCACACAGCCAGTTAAGTACAGTATATGCTTAGAAAACAGATCTGGTTTGACCAGACCAATGAGTTTTTGTACAGGGGACATGGATAGGTATATATGGGGCCACATCAACAGGGAGCAATATTATGAAAGTGGCAACAGGGTGCAGGAGAAATGGGAAGAAAAGGCCAGACTGCAGGCAAAGAGAGAAGTTAGTCCACATGGAGTTCAATGAGCTGTTTAAGTCCTGGACCTGGAAAGTAATGGAAAGAAAGACATGGAAAAGACAGTGTACTAGAAAATGGACAGAATTTGGTGACTGAGACCACATGGAAGGGTAAAGCATGGGGGACTTCAAAGTTTTGAATCTAAAGACCTAGAAGTATAGTGAGCTCAGTAATAGATGTAAAGGGACTTCCCTGGTGGCGCAGTGGTTAAGAATCTGCCTGCCAATGCAGGGTACAAGGGTTCGAGCCCTGGTCTGGGAAGATCCCACATGCTGTGGAGCAGCTAAGCCCGTGCTACACAGCTACTGAGCCTGTGCTCCAGAGCCCGCAAGCCACAACTACTGAGCCCGTGGACCTACAGCCTGTGCTCCGCAACAAGAGAAGCCACTGCAATGAGAAGCCCGCGTGCAGCAATGGAGACCCAACGCAGCCAAAAAAAAAAAAAAAAAAAAAAGACAAGGAAAATGACAATTTGGGCTCTAGAGAAGGCTGAGTTGAGGTGACAATGACACACCCAAGAACATGTGCTCAGTAAGCAATTGGAGAAGTAAAGTAGAACTCCGAAGATTGGGATTGGAGAAGTGACTTGAAAATCACCTATGTGGGGACTTCCCTGGTGGTCCAGTGGTAAAGAATCCGCCTTCCAATGCAGGGGACGTGGGTTTGATCCCTGGTAAGGGAACTAAGATCCCATATGCCGTGGGGCAATTAAGCCCGCACGCCACAATTACTGAGCTCGCACGCCTCAACAAGAGAGAGAAAACCCGCACGCCGCAAGGAAAGATCCTGCATGCCTCAACGAAGATCCCGTGTGCAGCAACTAAGACCCAATGCAGCCCCCCAAAAATCAATCAATCAATCAATCAAATAAATATAAAAAAAAGAAAATCACCTATGTGGCCATGACAGATGAGTAGGTGATATCCTGGAAGAGGTGACGATAGTGAGGGAAATTAAACAGACTAAGGACTGAACCACAGGGGGCTCCATAGTCTGGGTGAGAGAAGCAGCACAGTGTTAGGAATTCAGATACTGTCCTGGGCAGTGGAGAAGTTAGAACCCAGGTGAGCCATTTGAGCAGCAGACAATGAATATAGGAGGAAAAAAAAGGGAAAGAGGTATTGCCTTTGACTAAAGGGACAGATTTCTATGTATACTGTTCTGATAGGATCTGCTTCCCCAGCTGGGGCTAACCAAGGCTCTTAAGGTTGAAGAAAAGAAGAGCACCTGATTGTGATGGAAATTGAAAGTGAGAAGAAGGTAGACAATGCCCTAAATTAGGATGGGCTGTGTGCTTGCGTATGCGTGCATGCATGTGCGAGGTAGGGGGCAGGGTGTGTGAAGGAGAAGGCAAAGACACAGCGCCATCCGCTAGGTCTAGAGCAAGCAGCTGAGGGACGGGAAGAAGCAAGACCAACACATATAAAAGAATACAGTGTACGCAGAAGTGAAAAGGTGTGTACCTGAGATTCTAAGGTTCCCGAGACTCAGTGAGTACAAGGAAGCAAGGTGAAGTAGATCAATGTGAGCAAGAGGAGCTGGAAAAGACAGCACACCCGAGGTTGCCCCTGCATTGGGTTTTATTAGGAGTAAAATTTTTGTTAGGCCAAGAGGAATTCAGAGGGAATTCCAGATGAGGAAATTATATGAGGGAAGCTTTAGAAGTTGGTGTGAGCATGGCACGTGGAAGGGACACAAAGGGGGAACAACCAACAGGAGTGGATGATTCTCACTGGACGTGAGAGTGATGGTGGACACAAAATATGTACGGACACATTGAAAGGGTCGACAGGGGTGGCCCCGAGTACCATATTGAGTCATCTGCCCTTCATCCTAAGGGACTAGGAAACTACTGAAAGGTTCTGAGAGAGAATATATGATGCGAGAAGTACTGTTTTAACAAGATTAATTTGGGAGTATGGGGAAAGAGATGGAATGGGGAAGGGTGAAAGCAAGGAGACTAATGAGAAGATTAAATCAAATAGTCTGTGTGTAAAGTCCTAAGGTCTTGCTTGCACTAAGATGGAGATAAAAGGTTTAACAAGGTGACACCACAATGAGAGCTATGACGAAAGGTAGGATCAGTAGGACATGGTGACTATATATGGAGTGAGTGAGAAGAAAAGGATCAAAGGCAGTTTGGAGACTTTGGGAGCCAAAGAAAAATGTCACTGGTAACAGAAATAATAAAGACAAGGGATAAAACAAACTGGCCTGAAGGAGAAAATTATAATATCTGTCTTGGATACTAGAATTTAATGTTACAGTGGGGAATCCATATAGAGCCATCTAGCAGGCAGCTAGAAATATGAGACTTAACAAAAAGGAAAAGTTAGGACGAGAGATATATCATCAATGGAAGTCATAGAAATGGATGTGCTTATCCAGAGAGATAGGATGTAAGTGAAGAGCCGAGGGAAGACATAGCCCCCCCAAAAAACTGACAATTAGGGAGAAGACACAGGATGAAACAAAAAAGACACTAGGTTGCCAAGAAGGGAAAAAAAAAAGGACTGTGGACCATCACAGAAACCAAGGGAGGAGAGTTTAAAGGAGGACATAATTGGCAGTGTCAACTGCAGTGGAGAAATGAGGAGAAAACGAAAGACAACACGACGGGTTCAGCAAGGAGGTCACTGCTCTCCTCCAGGAGATGCAGCAGAGTAAGGTGAGAAGAAAGAATGCATGGGGCTAATGGAATAGTGGAGCCAGGAGCAGTGGGATGAAGGCAGCAGGCACCAAGCACTCATTAGAGAAGTTTGCAAGGTGAGGAATTAGACAGTCAGCTTGAGGAGACAAAAAGGTGAAGCACAGGTTTAATTCAAATCGGTGGGAAGACTTCTGAGTTGGACCACATAGAGGAAGAATCCAGGGAAAATATAATAAGGTACTCAGGGCTCTTTGAAGAAAATTAAAAGTGAACATTTGCACATATGCGTACAGAAGTACCCAGAATGGAACATTAACTAACATTCAGTTACCTGGGCTTTCTGTAACGGTGCCATCCGACAGCAGAGCACTGCAGTGCACTTCATACAAATTTGTAGGAAAATGCTTTTGTAATTGTTAGAACCAGAGTCTTGACTAGAATTTAATATGAGAGACAACGTGGAGCCATCAATGATTAATCCATATTCCTGATGTTCTGTCCATGCTCTGAAAAAGAAAAACAATGCTATATTTGAATCTACTATACATTGCTATTTAGGAACTTTAAAAAACCAGTCAGAGGAGGGTTATCATCAATCTGGTTCCTGGACGTGTAAATTCTAAAGAAGCAACCGACTCTATTAATGACACAACAGAGACTTTCTATCACATCTTTGAGACTCAAGCTGCCCATATAGATGGCACTAAGTTCTAAATATAAAAATAATGGACTTCTAGCAGCCAGTCTCCATATAAGAACCTCAAGGTGAATTTTGGAAATTACAGTTCCATCAAACTCTGATATGAAGACAAATCATCAGTCAATCTGAAAACTGCTTAACAATGAGGGGAAAAGACAAAATGGCTTTGGGGTATACAAATCACAGAAGATATTCTTAATATCTCTGCCCAAATGACAAAACCTATCAATAGACCTGGCTTCTCAAATATGATGGACTACTAAAAAGACATAGTGTTCATTAAAGAATAGCATGCAATAATGATATATGTTCCTTAAATAAGTATCATTTTATACTAGACTAGTGGTTTTCAACCATAGCCTTCCCATGAGAGTCATCTGGGCAGCTTGAAAAAAAGCCCATGTCTTAGGTTTATCCACAGACAAATTAAATCAGGGTATCTTGGGCAGGGCTTGGTTACATATAGGCATGTTTTAAAATACTCCATAGGTGATTCTCCTGTATAGCCAGGATGAAGTAGTATTAGTTGCCAGGAAAGACAAATATAACAGGTGCTGGACTTCCCTGGTGGCTCAGTGGTTAGGAATCCGCCTGCCAATGCAGGGGACACGGGTTCAAGCCCTGGTCCGGGAAGATCCCACATGCCGTGGAGCAACTAAGCCCGTGTGCCACAACTACTGAGCCCGCACGCCTAGAGCCCTGCTCCGCAACAAGAGAAGCCACCGCAATGAGAAGCCTGCACACCGCTTCACACCGCTGCACACTAGTTCACCACAACTAGAGAAAGCCTGCGAGCAGCAACAAAGACCCAACGCAGCCAAAAATAAAATATAAATAAATTTATAAAAAAAAATATATATATATAACAGGTGCCAAGTATTTAAGAAAAACATATGGGGGAAAACTTACAATTGAGAAAATTCTACCAATTAACATTTTAATTTTTTTTTTTTTTGCAATTAACAAAAAAAACACCGATTAATCAATTTCTGCTCAGGAAATCTTGGGTGCCATTTGAGAACCACTGCAGTAGACGTATTAAACATAGCAGGATCTCATCGTTATACAATAGATTCATTTGTCTAATTTTATGCTACTCAAAGCTTAATGTTTAAAGGAATCTTGTTAAAATTCCTGGGAATCTTGTTAAAGTACACATTCTGATTCAGTAGTTTTGGGGTGGGACATGAGATTTTGCATTTCTAACAAGCTTCTGGTGATAATGGAGCTGCTGTTCTATGGACTATGAATAGTGAGAGCCTAATATGCCTCTTCTTTCCTTCCTTTCATATTCTGCTTCATGATATTATGAGCATGTTTTATTCACTAATTAGAGATATCAATCATGCATTCTCCTTTGCTCCCCTATTCACAGAGCTGACAATGAGCAGAAAACAGTAGCTCAATAATCAATCAAGCAATATTTGGTCTCTAACTAGGCCATATAGAAGAATGGAAAGAATTATTAACTAATCTTTCTTTGGAGAATAGAAAATCTCCTTGGGGTAACAGAAGCACACATGAGAGAATATACCCAACCAAACATGATATTAAATGGTTAATATCTGAAAAGAATGGATACATGTATATGTATAACTGAATCACTTTGTTGTACACCTGAAACTAACACAACGTTGTTAATCAACTATACTCCAATATAAAGTAAAAGTGTTTTTAAAAAGGTTAATATCCAGTGATTGGGACAATAAATACACACCAGGAAAGAACAATGGTTTCTTTGTGAGGTATGATATCTGAAATGGAACTTAAAAGACAGGACAGAAAGAGGTGAAGAAAAGAGGGAATGTATGTGTGGTGCACTAGGAAAACAAACTGAAAAGGTCACCTGGGGCCTTTGGTACGACCTGATTCTGTGGGTAATAGAGATCCATTAAAGGTTTCTGAGCAGGGCTGTGACATGGGCAGTACTTTATATCTAAGGACCACTCATCTGGCAGAGGGGCTTACGTGCTCTGAGGCACGAGTTACTAGGAATCTGATGGGGAGCGCCAGTGGAGAGAGTGGGGACATGGGTAAGGCTTGGTGGCTGATTTGAAGTGGAAGGGACAAAGGAGCAGAAGCTGGCAAAAGGGATCCTGTGTCTGATGCTTGTGTAACTTGGGGAAAGAGTGTACCCAACTCCAGATGAGTCAGGAAGAGGGAATGTTGAGATGGTGAGTTCAGTTTTCCATAAGCGCTGGCTTTTACAAAAGTGCCCAAGGGCTCCTGAATGGTGCTATGCACTGAATTGTGTCCCCCCTGAAGTCCCATGTTGAAGCCCTAACCCTCAATGTGATGATATTCGGAAATGGGGCCTTTGGGAGATAAGTTTAGATGAAGTCATGAGAGTGGGGCCCTTATGATGGGATGATGGGATTAATATCCTTATAAAAAGAGGAAGAGACACCAGAGCTTCCTCTCTCTCTGCCAAGTAAGGACACAGCAAGAGGGCAGCATTCTGCAAGCCAGGAAGGGGGACCTCACCAGAACTCGGCCATGTTGGCACCCTGATCCCATACTTCTGGTCTCCAGAAATGTGAGAAATAAGTTTCTACTGTTTAAGCCACCTGGTCTCTTGTATTTCGTTATGGTAGCCTGAGAAGACTAAGATAAATGCAAGTAAAACACATGTAATCTGGACTGCCTTTATAAGTACCATTTGGTTAAAGGAAGGAAACATTTATCATAGGCAATTAATAAAAACCTGTTTACTCTCACTGATGTCCAAGTAACAGAAGAACAGCTGTCTTAAAATTGGCCATAGCCTCATGAATGTGGGCTATTCATTTTTAAAGTCTGTTTAAACACTAGTGATGAGGACACAGATAGAGCATAGTTGTTAAAAGCATGGGCTCTGGAATTGCGTAGACTTGCTCTACACCTTATTAACTGTGTTATCTCGAATAAGTCAATTCATCTCTCTGAGCCTTAGTTTCCCTATTTCTAACAAGAAGAAAATAAGGTCGTGTTACTGGGTTGCTGTGAAGATTAAATGAGAATAATTTAAAGTGCTTAATGTTATTCCTGGAACAAAGAGGGCACTTAAGAAATGTGAAATAATATTATCTACGGGTCTTTGGATTTACTGCAGACACATCCTGTGGCATTTCAGAAGAGGAAATTGATTTGCTTACGGCCAAGGTAAATTCCAGTAATGGGTTTAGACAAAGCTAGGCCTTGGTCAATGTCAAGTACAGGAAAATGTAACTCTGGGTATTGAATTATTGTGGATCAGTGGCTTTCCTTGAGAAGCTTAGATTCTACAGGTTCTTCCTAAGCAGCTTGTTGAAAGCAGTCGAGTGGCCATGCTATCAAGTATTTGGTCTCCTTTGGAGCACTGGGGCATGAAAATTCACACAGAAAATGCCTCCAGGACTTCGACCTGCATGGAAACTGTTTTAGAGACTGATTTTATTACATTCAATTTAAGAGACCATGAAAAGGAATATTTTTTCTTAACATGGGCCAGGACAGAGTACCAATGATAAGTACCCAGACCCTAAGTATTTAGAAAATGAACCACTTTTCTAAAGCATGAGAAGGGCAGGGTTTTCTTTTAAATGAAAGAAGAGGTGGAAAGTGCCAAATAATCTCAAATGGGTCATTAGCCAAGTCCTCAGGAAAGGTTCTAACTTACAAGGATAAAGCACCTGCAAACAAAGACTGATAAATTACAGAAAACGGAGCCTTCTGCATAAGCAGCTGTGATTTACATCTGTACCAATGTCTAAATATAACAAATTGATGTACTTTCTTACTTTTTAAGGCTTCTAGTACTTTTAGGAAATTCATGCAGCAACTTTTTACGATATTCAATCAACAACTCATGTAATCGATCTTCCTTCCGTTCGCTTTCTTGGATGGTTTTGGTGGTCAGTTCCAAGAGCTCCGTGCTGGTTTGAAAAAGGCGGCAGGCATAGCAGGTAGATTTGGCTGTCTCCATCTTGTCCCCAGTAAGCACCCAGACTTTCAGACCTGCTGCGTGCAGGGCTTCAATGGTCTCAGCGGCTTGATCTTGTAGCCTGGAAACACAAAGGAAACCTTGTTATCTTTGAAAATTCCTGACACAGATTCTACAAGAAGGCTTGTTAAAGAGAATGTCCTTATAATTCATAGCAATTCTGGAGTCCTGACATGTTTTAACAGTTGTTTTTCTTATATATCCTCTACCATTTCTGAGCATACTCTTTCTGGCATAGTTTTACTTATTAAAGTACATTTCAAACAATGAGGTTTGGAAAGTTTATGTTTTCTATCTCACTATACAAATACTTAACATGGTTCAAAACAGAAAGGGCCAGACACAGTCTAATGAGATATTGAAGGAAGTTAGCGAATCCCCATCCCCGAGGAGCTGGAAGTTTAGGAAAGCCAACCATTCTGAAGGAGATTTTAAGCATTATTCTGAAAGGCAAGGGTAGAAGAAGAGCGATACTTTGCATTCCTTTCGGTCAGAGAATAACAATGAAATTAGACTAAATGAATTCTATTAGAACTTTAATACCTTCCAATGAATATATGTTTATAACTTCATGTTTGGGTTAAGCCTCACAATTTGCATTCATAGCTTCTAGAAAACTTCTAAAATAGAATCTAAAACTTATTTTTTCAAGCAGATCAATTCTGGAGCCCTATAATCATGCCTGGCAGAGCTCAGCCTGTATGGTTAGAGCAAATTATTTTAAAGTATGCAAAAATATGCTCTAGTCTGTTAAACCAGGTTAGAATGAGCTCTCATGTTGTTTGCTCAACCCTGAATTTCCCTTCTGCTCATCTGTCTTTCAAAATTGTACCCATTCTACCAAGCACCAACTCAAATGGTGTCTCTAGCACAAAGCTTCCTACGTACAGTAAGACTACTTCATAAATACCTGCATAAATGAAGGGATGGCTTAATAAGTACTCAAAACACCTTAGAGATGACAGATTCATTCTCCTAAGTCACAAATATTTAACTTAAAAATTATTCCCACAAACAGTTCAAAATCTGATGTACAGACAAAGCTGAATCAAGGATTTCAAAACTTGAGAATGAATTACCAATCTGGACAGATAACACCCTAAATGACTGGTCATTAAAATAACAAGAATATCATTTTCTAGTTACTTGTCTTCCACTGCAGTGGCTCCAATTAAATTCATGTTTGTCTCAATCTCATCAAAAACCTTTTCCATTTTTTCTTCTCTGTCTTGTAAGGCCATTTTTGCCTCTATGAGCTGTCTGTTAATTCTTTCATAATCATCTGGAGCAATTTCTTTGAAGGCTACACAAAGTGTCCGATACCCATCCTAGAAGCAAGGTAGGAGATCTCTAGTTATCCAAGTAATGAATAAAAACAAACAAACAAAACACACTCTTTAAATACTCTTGCTTTACCACACAAAAGAGAAATTCTGACTAATTTCCTTTTTAGTTAAAAAAGGGGAAAAAAAAGAAAGAACAGATTGCATTGGGTTAACATTCAATTAGGTTCGGAATAACAAAATAATGGCTCTTGGGGTTAAGAAAAAAACAAACAAAAAGCAGAACATAAAACAAAGATTCTTGAAAAGTCTTCAAAGGGTACAAATTTTGAACAGAAACTTGCTCCAGGATGTTTTATATTAAAATAAGGAAAATAATATTACAAAATCCCCAAATATAAAAATAGGCCATAAAAATAAGCTAAAATTCATTTCAATAATCCTTTAAATAGCAATCCATAAACGTAGTCATCTCTAGCATTTCTCTATCTACTGGGGGGAGGGGGTGTAGGCTCACCATTGCGTTACGTTCCACATGGACTTTAGTTAACTCAATTTCATGATTTTGCACCCTGGGGAAAACTGCTGAGTCGGCTCCTTTACAAAAGAGAAGTATGTCTCCTAAAATAAAGAATCAGAGTACTTGACTTACTTAGAATTGGGATTTTAATAATACATAACTATTAAGGTGGCCTCTCCCACCCAGCAGCTGTGTATCCTGAGCCTGCCTTGGAATGTCCATCCAAATGGAAGCAGCCATCTTGACCTTTACTCTGTCAGGACAACGTTCACCACCTCTTGGGACCAATACAGACATAATTAATATCTCAGAGTTTACAACATGCACCTCTGTTAAAAGAAACTTCCTTCAAGTGAATCACAGAAGATGGTGCTTGTGTCAAGGAGCTACATCTGAATTCTCTTTGAGGATGTTGTCAACCATGGTCTAAAGTTCACATGTGGCATCTACAGATGTCAAGGACCAAACTCAAGCTCAAACACGATAAAATCATTTTGAAAGACTATACATATTAGCTTTTAAAACAGTAGCTTGAAGGTTTTCACCGGAAACTGGAGAATAGCTCTGTAGAATGCTAGTACAAGTACAGCTTTATACCAGTCCATGCACCCAGGAAAGTAGACAGTACCATTAAGAAGGACACTCTGGGGCTTCCCTGGTGGCACAGTGGTTGAGAGTCCACCTGCCGATGCAGGGGACGCGGGTTCATGCCCTGGTCCGGGAAGATCCCACATGCCGCGGAGCGGCTGGGGCCGTGAGCCATGGCCGCTGAGCCTGCGTGCCCGGAGCCTGTGCTCCGCAACGGGAGAGGCCACAACAGTGAGAGGCCCGCCTACGGCAAAAAAAAAAAAAAAAAAAAGGACACTCTGACCTTATAAGGCAAAGTGCTAAGTTCAAAAAGTTAAAAAAGGGTAGCTCTGAGGTCAAGGCCCTTGATAGACCACTTCCTCAGACATCTCACCATCTGCAGTAGAACGTGGACGTGCATGTGTACAGGTAAGAACAGCAAGTATTCCAAATGTTAGGTGTTTTTAAAAAAATTTTCTCTCACATAGCCACAATGTGTTTAAAAGTCACAAAACAAATTCCACATTCACATATAATGAAATCAGCATCGTGACTTTGCAGTCACACCACAAAGTATGAATAAGGTAGGATATATTCCCTGAAGGGTCTGTCTAAATCTTCCCCTTCTCATACTAAGACATTTTCAACAGATTTAATACTAAAAAGTAAATTACTAGGAAATAAATCAAGGATATTTTGGAAAACCACCTGGAGACAGACAGACAGACACACACACACACACACACACACACAGAGGAATATGAGAGCCCACAAACGAAGCAGGAATGCTACCCATGGGTCTTGCTGAATCTGAGCAGAAGGCATCCCAGTCACCATGGCTCCTCCCAAGAACATGGGGGAACCCTGAAATGATGGTACTGTTTCCCCTGCAAAGGGCAAGCTTCTTTACTGTGTTAAACCAACAGCCCAGGGTGCTAGAGTAAAATCACATGCCCTTTCCCAGCAGTCAGGCCCTTAGTCATCTCTAGCTTACCTGTTTCCAGGAAGTGTAAAGCAGTGGGGAATTAGGAAGGTCAGAGAGGGATAACCAGCAACTCTCTACACTCATAGATTCTACTGCTAGTAATCTCAAACCATCCAGTTGTAGTGGGCTGCTGCAGGTAGGCATTGGTGGTGATTGGTTAGTACCCTGAACTGTGAAAAAGTCATCCTTTCAGTTCCTGTCTGGACATCCAAGACTGAGGGGTAGAGTTCACTTTCCAAGAAAATGCATATATTGTCATACCAGGGGTTCTGCCAGTGACAATTTGACAAACTGAACATGTGCTTGTATAAATACATTAAGGCTTATACAAAAGCTTTGCACGACTTTCGGTAATCATACACTACTACGTTAAATGCTTTCCTCTCTTGAAGTAGTTGATCAACATACAAATCTACAAGTGGAAAAAGTCAAGTTTTAAAAATGCATACCTGATTGAGTTTTCACAACCACACTCATACGACGGCGGACAGAATCGAAGTTCAAGGTGTGAAGAAGTTCATACCTTTAATAGAAAAAAAAAAAGAGAAAAGTGAAATACCTAGACCAAGATAAAACACAACAGAAACATCTTAAGTTAAGAGAGCTCTCCTCTTTGGATAAGGGTTGCTAGTTGTGGGCACAACGGGTGCTTTCCATTGTGTCTTTGGAATTTCTCTGTGCTTAGAACATGCTGTCAGAGGATACCAGTGTTGGTTAAGGGTTATCTATATCTTCTCATTATATAACTTAAAATAGTAAGGAGAGACTGACTGCATAGGAATGAGGAACAAAGAGCTGTCCTGTGAAGCTATATCTGGCGAGGGTCTAGAAATAGTCTCACCCTGCCAAGTATTTTAATCATCTATGGAGTGCCTACTATGTGTCAGGCACAGTGATTGACGCTGGAGAAGAGACACACATCTTCCCTTAAGGCGCTTACCAAATGATAAGGGAGACAGAGGGTAATGAGAGGACTACCCCGTAGTCTTCCAAATACTGTAACAAAGGAACACACAGGGGGGATGTGGGAGCACAGACAGAAGGCATCTGAAGGAAGGCTTCCTGGAAGAGGTGGTGCCTGAGCTGTGTTTTGCAGGAGTGACACGATGAAGAAAGGGTATCATGGCACTCTGAGTACAGAGAAGAGCATGTGCAAAGGCACAGCAACATGAGAGCATGTGGCCCATGAGGGGACTTACAGTAGTTCATTTAAGGCTTGAGATCTAGTTGATAGGGGAGTAGCAAGAGAGGTAGGCAGGGGCTGGGACCTGAGAACATTGTGGGCCATTTCAGAGATTTGGGATTTCATCCTAAGGGCAATAGGAATCCACTGAAGGGTATAAACAGTGGATTGACATGATCAGATTTGTGTGTAAATGGCTAAGCTATTCACCAGATGAAAGGATGAAGAAGAAAGTTTCTAAGACTTATTAGAAAAAAATGTGAGGAAATCATTTCTTGAAAATAAATAACTTGTATACAAGTATTTACTACAAAGCTTCTCTTTGATGGGAGTGAGCGGGTCATTGGTTTTGGGATGTGTATGTATAAAACATCTACTTGTAGCACAGTATCTCATTTGTTGTTGGCCACATGGGGGCATTGTTGTGAACCGGCTAGAATCTGGACTTTGACAATGACCTGGGGCTCCTGGCAGTCAGGCCAAAGAGCCTTCTTCTGGTTCCTCTGGCTCTTGAACACTCCTTCCCAAAGGGGCATATTCCCTAAGCACATCTACACGTGTTACATGTTTCTAAGATGGGTCTCACGAGATGCCAGGGGTCAGACAATTACATTTCAAGTTCATATAAAGAATTCAAATTAATCACAGGGGCTAATTAAAATCCGTTATTAAGCCAAGGTGGTTTTGTTTGTTGGGGTCTCTGTAGTGAAAAAAAAAAATAAAAAATAAATGTGGAGCTATGGCTGCATCAGAGTACTTGCCCTGAGGCTCACACCCAAGCATCTAGAACAAGAGAAAGCTTCTGACTCCAAAGCTGCCATGTCTGGCAGGGCTTGCAATCCCAGAATGATTGGTTGGGTTCTGGACAGCAGAAGGTTTCATGCCTGTTCACTGATTTTTCTTGCAGCATGTGTTGGAGACCTGAAATGGCATCTAAAATTCAGAAAAGTCCAGGCAGACGCTCATTCAGGCTACTGGACCCATATGTGAACAAAATTGGAATCATTGACACCTCAAATGCTAGTTTCTGCCATTCTATGAAAAATGTCTTCTCCTACTCCAACTACATTTACATAAAGCTCTGAACTGGGAGAGCAGAGTCCTACATTTATAGATGTAGTCAGTTCCCTTTGCTGCCCTGCCTAAATCCATCTAAGGTGGACTGTGGGGTTAAGAAGTGACAATCATCAAACATACAGCGCTACTTACTCTTCTATTTCTTTTCTTTGGTTCTCTACTCTCATATGACCATTCCGCATTCCTACAAACGTGAACCCATACCTGCGAAACACAATAAAAAAGGCCTTTGTGTATCTTTAAAGAATAATTAATTTCCTCTTGCACTGGCATTATTCATACTTGTTTATTGTTTTCTTCTCTTTCATAAGATCTCAATCTATAACTGTACTTCCTTTTACTCACTGAGATGTTAACACAGAGCAAGTCAATGTCCAGTCACAAATCGTAACCAAGAAAGAGGCAATTTGTGATTCCAGTTCTGTAACTAATACATGGGGTGACTTTAATCCACTTAATTAGCTTGGGCTTCATGGATAAAACAGGACTTTCAGTTACCAAATGATATCAAAATTGCTAGGAGCACTTCAGCAAGAACATGTGTTGTACAAAAAGTGGCCATTATTATAGGATTTCCGAACTATAATATGAATATTTGGACTTCTGGCTGGAATGCATAAATAGTAATGCAAGTTACATCTATGCATTGCTATTTTCTTTTTGGTCTTAACTGGTTAGATTTGGGAATTTTTTTCAAACTTTCAAATACAGTAGCTTGGCTCCTTATTAAAGAATAAGGATACTTATAAGGTTATTGAAGCAAGTAAGAGAAGGAACAAAATAACTCCTGTCCTCCTGTGATTTCGCTTTCTCAGGAGAAGTACAAGAACTTTAATTTTTTTTACTCTTCAAAAATGTTAATGTATTTTCTACAACTTATTTCTGGGTTTTTTTTGTTTTTTTTTTTGTTTTTGCGGTACGCGGGCCTCTCACTGTTGTGGCCTCTCCCGTTGCGGAGCACAGGCTCCGGACACGCAGGCTCAGTGGCCATGGCTCACAGGCCCAGCCGCTCCGCGGCATGTGGGATCTTCCCGGACCGGGGCACGAACCCGTGTCCCCTGCATCGGCAGGCGGACTCTCAACCACTGCGCCACCAGAGAAGCCCTATTTCTGGGTTTTAAAACAGCATTACTGAGGTATAACTGATAGAGAACTGCAAATACCTAATGTGTGCAATTTGATGAGTTTGGACACATGAATACATCTGTGATACCATCACCACAATCAGGATAGAGACATATCCCAACATTTCTCAGGTTCTTTGTGTCCCCTTTGCTTTTTTGTTGTTTGTGGTTAAGAACATTTAACATATGAGATCTACTCTCTTAACAAATTTTGAAGTAAAAATACCATATTGTTAACTATAGGCAGAACTGTACCTCTCGAAATTATTCATCTAGCATAACGTACGTGCTTACCTTTTAGCTCCTTTGACCAAAGCTATTTCATCTGGTGAAGAGGACATATACGTTAATTCAGCTGATTCTGTAACTCCATCAACAGCATCATTTGTTTTAATTTCTACAGTATGACATAAACACAAGGCACGCAGAAAGAGCTCTTCTCGATTCTATTGAACAGTAACAGAAAAATGATTATATTAGTTTCACTGTGAACACTTGGTAACTAGTCAATGAACAGAGAAAAGTTATTAATGTGAGAGAATGTTATAACCTCCAGCAAACTGAGTAGCAAAAATTTATAAATTCATAATACTGAAATGAACTACATATTCTTCTGGTCCCTACCAACATGCCTGGTTCTCAGCTAACACACCCTAGGGGCTATGTTAACTCATTCAGGTTACTGTAGTGCCACCTAATACCAAAGCAGTGACATCTCCATGGCCTAAAAGAGCTCATTCAATTCTAATTCACAATCTGGCAATAGCTCAGGTGCAGGGAGACTCTGGTTCATTTCATGCCTAGGCACTGCTGGGACTTGAATGATTTCAATTGACATCATTCTTGGAGCAGCTCATATTTTTAAAGATAAAGCACCAAAAATTATGATCACACAGTCAAGCGAAAGTTCTACCCAAATGCCATTTTTCATAATGCTCTCTTATAAATTCTACTTGTTTACAAATTCCGGAGTTGTCCATAAAATAAGAAAGGTGAAGTTGAAAGAACAAACAGATGGTTATTCAAAAGTCTATGTCACGTGCCCAAATCCTTAATTTCTACTATGCTAACACATGCCTATATAAATTGATTTCTCAAGGTAAAATGGTAACGCAGAAAATGCCACCTTATCTGCTTTGTCAAAATACGGTAAGGGTCCATCAGTTTGAGAGAGTCCATCAGCCTCCTGAGTTACACCTTTATACTTATGCCCATCTATGCAGCATTCAATGAATTCCATGCTATTTTCAGTGAGTGTTCCAGTCTTATCAGTAAATACATAATCCACCTAAAAACAAGAACACAAACATATGCATTCTTTCTTCAATGTGATTAATTTTCTATAAGGCATAACTATAAGGATATTCTCATATCCACAGAAATCACCTTTTCTAAAAACTTGTCAAATGTCAGGTAATTACAGAAGTAATATTATCAAATGAATGAGAAATGAGGAAGTATTTTTAAAGATACTGAAATAGTATCACATGTCTAAGGTAGACTTACTCAAATGTAGGAGATTAATAGGCAGGAAAAATGTGGTTATTTTATCAAACTAAGACCCCTTCAATTTAACACCGACCTGTTTTTATATAAAGAAGTTAACATAAGAAAAGTCAATTTTCCAAGTGGGAAACAATTTACTGACCATTATTTCTCTCTCTCTCTGACACACTGACATACGCGTGCACGCACGCGCACACACACACAGATAAAACATATTGAATAGGAACTTAAACTAACTGGGATGTAACAAAACCTTTCTTTGAAAAGTAAAATTTTCTATAAATATACTGGATTGAAGTAAAATGCATTATGGCATAGAATGTATGTAAGAGTTACAGAATATAGACAGATGGGGAAATAATGTTACTTAATTAGACATAGTAAGTCAATGATGATTAAAAATATAAATGAAATTTCTTCCACGTACTATGTATATTTTCAGATACTCCTCCAAAAAATTTCCAAATTAACAGAAGGAGTAGAGTTTATAATGATAGGCTAAAGTATAAGCATACTTTCATAAATAATAGAAAAATAGGCTATGAAATAAATTTCCCATGTAAAATAAGCCATTTTGAGCATTTTCATTTTATCTCAGTTTTTATCTCTTCTATTTATAACATCTGGCTTTTGGAAACCCACAATTTTATCCTCCTTTTTGGAAATTTATACTTAAATAGTTAAAATTATGGGCTGACAGGAATAAGCATAAGTACAAGATTAAGGTTTTTATTATGTAAGGGAGAAAGAGATGAACTGCAGCAGTACTTGCTTTCTAATTATTTTTCAAAGCATTTCACGGTAGCAGCACTGGCACAAATATAGCATTCCAGTCTTCTCTTGTTTTTCCTGTTAGCCAGCCAAGTTTGAATTCTCTCTTTAAATTAATCCAAGTGGTATTATTCCTGTATCATTTAGATTTTTCCAGTTAAAATGAAATTCTTTGGGTTTTTTTTCTGATCAAAATTATTAACCTTCATTTCCCCCTGAAGGTTGTCCTGTGTTGTTGCGGCTCCTGCACTTGGATGAGCATTAACCCATTTCGAAATCTTTTATAGATGACAAAGGTAATAGCTTTAAAAAATAAAGTGCAGGGACTTCCCTGGTGGCACAGTGGTTGAGAATCCGCCTGCCGACGCAGGGAATACGGGTTTGATCCCTGGTCCGGGAAGATCCCACATGCCGCAGAGCAACTAAGCCCGTGCGTCTCAACCACTGAGCCTGTGCGCCTATAGCCTGAGAGCCACAACTACTGAGCCCACGTGCCACAACTACTGAAGCCTGTGCGCCTAGAGCCCGTGCTCCGCAACAAGAGAAGCCACCACAACGAGAAGCCCATGCACCGCAATGAAGAGTAGCCCCTGCTCGCCACAACTAGAGAAAACCTGCGTGCAGCAACGAAGACCCAACGCAGCCAAAAATAAATAAATAAATAAATAAAAGTAAAGTGTATTTAAATAAAGTGCTTGCCTATATATAACATTTTGTGCACTATGGATCTGTGTACAATTAATCTCACAGGTATAGGCCAACCAACTATACCCTGATAGAGTAATTATCAAACCGTAGTCTGCATCACACTCACTAGGAGGGTGCTTGTTAAAACTCAGATCACTGGGCTTTATCCCCAGAGTTTCTCATTCAGTAGCTCTGGGGTGGGGTTAGATAATGTGCACTTCTAATAAGTTCCCAGGTGATGCTGGTCCTGAGATCATGCTTTGAGAACCACTGATCTAATATATGCCCTATACTCAGAACAAGGGGAGGAGAGGATTGGCTATTATTAAAAAGTATTCTCATATTTAAAGGAGAGTGCCGGCCGACAAGTCAGAGGCTACTGCTTGCCTCTGACTCTCAACAGCCTCTTCCTCTTTAGTGGTAGGTTTGAGCCAGTTGCAGGAAAGGCCCTTCTCTATCAGCAAGCTCAAAGCCATCAATTTATGGATAGAAAGCCTAAAGTGAGATAGCTGTTCAGAATAGAAAGGGCCCTAAAATAAAGGTTGAACACATATGAAATCACCTAGTTTACAGGTCAAAATTGGTCAAAAAATTTCACATTGTTTAACCTAGTGAAGAACTTGGACTGGAGTTGTGGCTCCACCACCTACTAAATTTGTGACCTTGGAAAAATCTTCTCATCTCTCTGTACATTAAATATTAGCCTTAAATAATCAAACCTGCTGCACAAGGCTGTAAAGATTACTAAATATGTTTGTAAGTGTTATACAGATGTAGATTGTCATTGCTGTTGACTTGACCAAAATCACACAGTACTAGACTCTTTCCATCATTTCACATTCCCTGATTTTTCTGATTATCGTCACATTGCTATAGTTAGGGTACGATATGTGTGTTTCCCCAACTAGATGTTGAACAACTCAAGGGTTTCTCGCTTACTTCATAATAGTAACCCCAGTACCAAGAACATACCTTAGGTAACACAGAAGTTTAATATATAACCACTGGATTGAATTACTGGAATCACAGTATATACTCAGACACACCACTGGGCATAGCTGCGAGACTGGGAGGGGATATGAAGGAGGAGGCTATCCCCACCATTTTTTCAAAGTTGAAACCATTTGGCTGTCTAAAGGACTGATGTCTGATCATAAAAGACCCCATTCTTTTACAATTGAACTGAGCAGTCTACTTCTTTTTGTTTCTCAAGTCAAAGACCAACACTGTCCTAAACATATCTTCCTATTTTTTTTTAATACCAATTTGGGTCACTTTGGAAGAGGTTAAGCAAGTGTTTGCAATGGTATTGATCGAAACTAACTGACACTGCTTTTAAGTAACATAAAAGCCCTACAGATTTTAAATTATGACTCATCAAGGAGGAAACTGGTTACACTTAATTTCGTGTATACTGGTCCATGAAATCCTAAATGTCCTAAGAAACCATTTCAAGACTTCTTTGCATTTTCATTTAAGTAGTTTCTACACATGTAAGCTGATCATGATGGCAAATTGTTTTTGCACTGTACAAACTGAAGTGGTGGTCTGGTTATTACCTTATAAGTGACTAAATGACAGTCACATCCAGAAAAGCAGGTTTTGGCGGGGGAAAGAAGTGGTGGCTGAAATGAAAACTGTAGTTTCTTTTCACTGATCAAACTGACTACATCATTACCCAAAGCTCTACTTTACGTTCTGCAGTGTGAATAAGTCTAGATGATAGGAACAAGACTACGTTCCCATAGGTAAGATGGAATCTGCTGAGGTGGAGATCTGGCCTGGATATCCTGCCTGTCTCTGGTGAGAATTAGGTGCCACATGTGGAATGATGGCTGTTCTATTTGCAGTAGCCTGGGACTAGCCATGTTCACCCTTGGGTAGCTTAACCCATATAGCCAGGCACTGGATTTAGAATAGGCAGATCTAGTCAACTAAATCAGCTGTCAGGGATAAGTTCACCAGAGGTGGCTTATAACTCATTTTTTTTTCCCATGCAAAAAAGCTGCAGATTGATACCTTTTGTTGGGACTAGAGTAGTTCTACTCAGCTTTCCCTGGATGAAAACTTCTGGTTTAAAAAGGCTAAGGTCAGCTGGGAACAATATCTAAGGGAAAAGCATTCGTTCATTCATTGCTTATTCTATCCTTAGTGACTCAGTATCTCTGTGGAATGCAGATGCCACAGTCTGGGATCCTGGAGTCCTAGAGTCAGGTTTCAACATAATGATATCTGGAGAGTCCTTTCACCCTTGTGACTGTAGTTGTCAAGAGGGCACTCTGGTTTAGTCAAAGGCTGTGTAAAGAACAGAAATACAGAGTGGGGGTGGAGGGGGACTGAATTCAGGAGGAGAGTTTTCAGGCACAGGCGCAAATCGTCACCATTCAAAACGAGTGTGAGGCCCTATTCCAGCCATACAGTTCCATTAACTGAATTTGCATCTCCCAGCCACAGAAATGATATTTCCACAGTCTTGACATTCTAAATATCAAGAGAATTAAATGCAAGCCAAAAAATCCCCTCAGCTTGTGAAGATCATTACATGACACACAGTAAATTCAGACAAAGGGAAAAACTTTTCTCAATACTGATAAGAAAAGCACCAAAGAAGTCATCACTTGAAGAATTACAGCTAGACTGCACTGCATTTGAAAACAACCTGGGTTAGCAGCGAGGTCAAAGCCTGGACTACCTTGGTATATGAAGCAAAAAGCATTTAGAGGAGTGCACGCCCTCACATTTCCCCTTCATTTAAATTCTTCCACTGGAATAAACAACTCTGCTTTCTAGGTCTATATTCCATCTGATCAGAAATGTACAAAGAAAATGTCCATAGGACAACTCTGGTCAATTTTGTTTATGCAACAAAATGCATTTATAAAATAGCTTTATTTCCACTGTCCCATAGTCTATCCCTAAATGATTACAGATGGTGATGAAGACTACATGTTTCCTGTTCCAAAGCAATAGCCCATAATCTAGCAACACCACCAGGTGAGTTTTAAAGAGAATTTCCATAACGTTCAAATTTAATACATAAATTGGTGTTCTTTCAAAACACTGATTTCAAAATGCCAGCAAAATAATTGACGTTATAGTTATGAAAACATCGCTTGCCTTCGTTACATGCCTGCATAAAGGAATTTTCGTTGAATCACATTTCCAAATGTGAAATGGTCACATACATTGGTAATCCAGACTACAAGAAATAAGTTCACTATGTTAACTTATTTTAAGTAAAAATAAGTTCTAACCTGACCAAGTTCTTCATTAAGGTCTGAAGTGTTAACCAGGGCTCCTTCATTGATTTCTTCATCATAAAAGTCCTTATCCCATGAAATGAAGAAGGAGCCCAAGAATTTTTGCATTTCTACTGTGACATACATGGAGACAGGAATGATAAAGTTGAACAGAACCATAAATGACAGGAAGTCGGTAAACATTTTCAAAACCTAAACAAAAGAAATAGTTCATGCTGATTATATGCACAGTTCCATCAAGCAAGTGTAATATAAACTTTCTATCTTTTAATTTCAACGCTGAAAGCACTGCTCTTCCCAACGACACTGTATCATTGGTAAACATTTTCACAGAACATGAAAACAACATTTACAACACCCTGAATTTTGTCACTATTCTTCAGCGAATGTACCTTGACTTAACACTTTTCACTTCCTTAAGTTCTCTGCTCCTCCCACCCCCCAATATGAATGTAGGCACCCATTATGTTCCTATCATGATATATCACAAGTTCATAATATATTAACATGTCAGACCTTCTTGCCCAATTGCTTAAAACTCTTAACCAAAGAATTAAAAACAAGGATAGATGCCTAGGGTTAAAACAAAAAGTTCTAACGTTTCTTAAACAGTTAATGGCTTGGGGCTACCATACAACCAAGAGAAAACCCAAATACCAAAGGTATCATTAACTGAGCAGCATTTCAATAAAGGGTGTCTCTGTTACAATGTGCTAGGGTTAAAATTTTCAGCATAAAACAAATTACCTTCAAAGTCTCGCGCTCTTTCTGGGTCTTTTGGTTATACCAAGGTTCATCGTTATATGGGGTACTTTGCCAAACATACTTTAGAGTAGTGCATACTGCAGCTTTGGTCAGTAAGATAAATAAATACACAATCAGGAAGGCATTAATGGATCTGAAAAATAAGATATTATGGATTCAAAAACCATTTAATTACTTAAGGATATCAACCAGGTATAAACTAAACTGTTCAGTTTTCTAAAGCTTCTCCTGTGTACGATGTGTAACCATAGCACAGACCTGTATAGATGAACCTGTTATCACTGCTAACGCATTATTCTTGAGTGGTAAAATGGAAAAGCCAGCCCTAGCCCCAACCCAAAGTGCAATGGCTCAACACACCTTTAGTAAGGACCCTATAAAGTGACAGAACGCGCGCACACACACACACACACACACACACATTACCTACTCCATCCTTATAGAAGGAGTAGATTGTTTCCATTTCCCTGAATCCTAAAGGTTTGGAATAGAGGGTAGAGGAGCAAATGTGAAACCTGCAAGCTTAGTGTGGATTCTTTTAGTCTGAAAGTACAGCTATGGAGAGGGTATCACTGATATACTGGATATCCATGCCAACAGGAGAGTGAGGTCTGTGCCAGTGGCGACTGGCTTGAAGGTGTGTGTCATGTACCACTTCAATATCTGTCAGGAGACTATTATCTGTGTTGTACAACCTCCTTACCTATAGCAACAAGAGGACCCCAAACCATTATCCAGCAGCAAAAGAGAATAAATTTCAACTAAACCCTGCCCTTGAATAGCTAAGTGAGCTTAGGTAAATCACTTATCATCTCTACGACTATTTCTCTATCTATAAAGTGGACAGGCTAACAGGAATTACTCTGAGTTGCTCAGAGGATTAAACCAAATCAGACATACAAATCACTGAGCAGTTTCTGGAACACAAAAAGTACTCAAAATGGTAGCACTATTACAAGTTATGTTGTTTTTGCTTATGGTTGTTATTTAGAATTACTGAGAAGTAACAATTTCAGTTCAATAACAACTAAAGAAATTGTGGTGTACACTAACTTTTCAACAGCGGAACGTTTCTGAGATTTCCCTTGGTAGTTCAATGCCATTTTGGTTTCCATTCCAGTGTAAACAGCAACTCCTAAGGAATAACCATATGACGAAAATTAGGTTTCCAATGAGATTGCCAACCCAACTCCCCACCCAGTTGGATCTACCAATTTTTTCACTCTATAAAAGTAGGAATTCTAAACTCTCTTCTATTCACCAGTTGATATATCATTTATAGTATAATTTTAATTCTACATAGTTTGTCATAGTTTTCAAGTTAGTTTACCATCTTATAAATTCCCAACACCTAAAAATAGGCTTAGATTAAATGGAATTAAATGCCATGTTCAATTTTTAACTGCACTGTTTAGGCACAGGCTTTAAAAGACATATTTCAAAAAAAAAAGACATATTTCTAGTAAGTATATCTTAAAAAACGTTCACCATATATCTTCTTGGTATTTTTTAGTGTAGCTCCTTTCAACAAGAGATTTTCAGGTCCCAAAGACCTAAACAAAAAATGAACACAACTTATCCAAACAGCCCAACAAATAGCACCATCAACTTGGGCGACATATTTTGCCCTAACATACATCTATCTCCAAAAGGTTCAGAATGTATCTGTTTACTTATATCATATGCTTACTAACACAGGACCAGCTGAAAGATATTTCCCTCTGAAGTTACTTGAGGGTACAGCACAGATGGAAGCACACACAGTACAGGAATAGCCAGCAACACACAGAGGTAAAGAGATGCATAGAGATAAAAGGATTATGAGTCACAGACAGCAAGACAAGAACGGGACAGAACAGCAGACATCAAGAAACAGAAAGAAAAGGTGACAGTAAAAGGCTGGGAAAGCAAATGTCAAGGTGGGAAAGACACACTGCCATATTTATAGAGAGTAAACACGCCTTTTGGGGGATCATTGGGCACCCGGTGTTTCTTTAACTCCCTTTTGAGTATTGGCTATAAAGGCCAAGTGGAAAAGTTGAGATAATTAACTGGATGATAGAAGAGGGAAGAAAACACCCCTTCTTCCATGAATTGTTACATTATAAATGATTAAACCTTTCATTTTACTTAAGTCCAGCTAATTCTCCCAGCATTTTATCTCCTGCCTAAATTACTCTCCCTTAACACACTGTTCTCCAGATATACTTCCAATATTGTCAGGCACTGCACAGCCAAGGACAATAAATACAGTGCTTAGAACATATTTGGGATTATTGGTCAAAGTGTCTGGAGCTCTACAATTTTAGAAGCCCTCAGCATCACTTCCAACACCACCCCCCTCCCAGGACACACACACTCTGAGCTGCTACCAATCACAAGGTCAGCTACTTAAGACCCATTAGTGGCTAGTTACTCCAGGGTTATTCACCTTTACATCCCTTTCTATAGAGGAAAGTATTCAACTATTTTAATGGGCTTAAAAGAGAAACATTGCTCCCCCCAAAAGGACAGATCAAAGGAATTATAAACTAACCTGGCAACAGCTTCAAGACTATTACTATAGATATTGATTCGGCCAACAAACCTGCAAAAAGAACATAAAAGCACACGTGTTTCTATATCTAGATAAAATCTATTTGCCCCAAATATGGGAATGAATCAAAATACAAAAAATCCAAGTAGAGATAAGACAATGAACTACGAACGCCTATTGTCTTTCTTTTTAAAAAAAGTTAAGTTGAACCAATATGGTATGTAACATTTTCAACTAATTTTAAAAATATTATGGATTATAAGAATGTAAACAAAGATTCTAAATTGATTTTCAAGATCTACTTGGCACCGTGCATGCACACATTACCCCTCTCATCTATACTCCATATAAATAATTGGTTTCTATTTCACATTCATGTGAAGAAAGGTTTCTGGTGCTAAAGCAACTTTTAAAACCATTAGTTCAGTAGTTCTTTCACTTGAGCATGCATCAGAATTACTGGTGGGCTTCGTAAACCACAGATTTCTGGGCCCCATCCCCAAGCTTATGGTTCAGGTAAGAATGTGAATCTGTATTTCCAACAAGTTCCCAGGCGATGCTGATGCTGCTGGCCTGGGGTCACCGTTTGAGAACCACCCGCATTAGGCAACACTTGATTACCATCTTGGAAATTTCCAAACTGTCTTGCAGCTGATCTGAATACTGAGCTTGATCTGACCAAGTGATCAGATATATGGCTATGCATATGGTAATCTACATTTCTGAAAAATAGGGTAAAAAGCTCTAACTCCTCCTTAACAAGAATGTTATGAGTATTTTATAACTTACATTAGAATTTTTTCAGAAAAACTGATTATTACTAAACACACAAAATATGAAGGTCTGCTCATTCATTCATCACGTATTAATTGCACCATTACTATGTTTGCTAATAAGCAAGAAAAATGTGTTCCTTGCCCTAAAACAGACAATCAGGCAATTACAATGTAAGTGATGACCGCTAGGGTGGTGGAAGTACAAGGTATTCTGAAGTCACATACCAAGGGTACTCAATCTAGTCTAGAGAAATTAGGAATAACCTTCCCTCACTAAAAATCTCCTTCTTATTTAAGGTAACTGAAATTTAGGAGTTACCCTATGAATATGCAAGGATGTATATTATTGTCTAACTCAGGCAAAATCAGTCACTCCCTTTTCTGTGATTCTATGGGCCTTTTACTCACCTTTATTATCTCACTGTACTGTACGCCTAGCTTTACTGTTTTATCCCCTTTGCAAACTGTGAGTTCCCTAAAGGCAGGGAACAGCTATTTTGCTTTGTGATTCTAAGTTCCTACTATCAAGGTAGATACAGAAGAAGAAGGGAAAAAGGAAAGAAGGAATGATGGGAAGGAGGGAGGGTATTATTCATGTAGTAGGATGAATACTTTGTTTTTCCACTACTGGGCACTGTTGTAAGCCACATCCCGCCATTTGGTACCCTATTATGACCAACAGCATTCATTAACCAGATGGCTGGCATGAGTGATGGATGCCATCTGTAAAGGTGGAATAGAATATAATTAATTGGCCCACTTGGGGATAAAACCTATTATTCTATCCTCATTAACACCATGCTCTAATCAACCAAAGTAACCAGTCTTAAAACTCAAATGCCAAATTTTTTGACAGCCCACAATGACTGTGAATGAGTAAATCTACTCCAGAAAGCCTAACTATAGCAAAATAGAGGAAATCACACCATTTCACTGCTCCCTCAACTTAACTGTTCACTTTGGGCAAGAAACAGCCTATATACAATACTCAGTTCATCATGATCCTCATAAAAAAGGGCAAAGTGCCTACTAATTGCATGGCTCCATATCTCCTTCTCTCTTTAATGTTGGATGACACATAAAGTGGTTTATTTTTGTTTTAATTAACTCTGGCTAATGCATGAGTTTGATAGATCAGCCTTACGGGATTACATAATCTTAAAATGTGATGGACGGCCATGTCTACAAATAACAATAATAAAAGAAAAACCACAAGTAAGATGCCTGGGCCCACAATGATTTATCTTAGGCTGGTAGTGAACAAGGCTGATTTGCCTGCCAGAAGGAAGGAACAGCTCATAAAAACACAAATGCAAGGAGGCTGGTAAATGGTGGGTGTTTCTTTGCAATACTGGTGGCAAAGAGAAGCAAAGCCATCAGACAGCAGTAAAATGAAACCAGGTAATTCTTACTTGTAGAGGTCAGGTTGAGGCTGTTCACATTCAATTGCTGCTCTGAGGGCATCAATGGATTCGGCTGTACACAGTTCAATGGTGTCACGTACCGCATAATGTGTCTAGATGTAAGCAGAAGAAAAAGCAAAAACAGCCCCCCCGCAAAAAAAGTGTAATCGTATACCCACTTGATTTCATGAACACTGTATGTTTTTAGTAAGAGGCTTTGGCAGAATGATACAAATATTGATGCACATTTCCAACTAAATAAACTTGATGGTATTATTCTTAAAACATATTACAAATAATTAGAAAGGTAACTCTGCTACAAGGGGATTTCAAAGATAATGAGAAAACTAAAAACTTTTCTTGATACTGACAGCAGAGAGAATTCCATTTGCAGCATGCATATAATTAACTGAAAACCCCATGAAAAATTTAATGCATTTTTTTCTCCTATTTATAGAACTGAGACCTATTATTTTGCTCACCATAGTGTATGGTGATGTTAACATACACATAAGAATTGAACATAACCCTTTTGGTCATAAGAATGCTAACATTTTTGCTAACAGAAAGAAAAAATTCATCAATAGTTTCCATTATACAAACAGCAAAATTAATGATCTTGAAAATGCTTTGAGTGGCTACAATTTATGTAAGGAGCTGGGAGATGACGTGTCTTGCCTTAGTCAGACAGTTAGAATATTCTACTAATGTATATTATGTACTTACTTGATTGACCCAGAACTCAAGGCAGGCTCCAATGAACCCATTTATAAATCATCAAAGAAGGGCTGACGCAGATTCAAAGACTGCACCACTTATGCTGAAGGGAAAGCTGTTGCGCACAGTCTTCGGAGAATATTATGGATCTGCCTCAGCTACATTTGAAACTATCTCCTGACTTGGAAAACCTATGTACTTTTAGCTGATTTATCAGATCAACTTAATTGGAAAATGAAACGACTTGAAAGTTTTCTGCCTCTAAACAACTTTTTCCCTATTAGGAAATCTTTAGGTAGATTTCTCAATTTTTATCTTGACATTCCCTCAAATACAACTTTGTTTTTCAGTAGTTTAAATGGGACTAGTTCATCACCATGCCCCTGAAGAAAAAAATTAGTTATCTAACAGGCATTTAAGTTCCTTTCCCACATACTGAGTCCTGGTCCTCAACTCCAGATGGAATAAACAAGCAGAGGAAAGCCCCCAAGGATACACACAGAGGTGAGCACATTAGTATTCTTCCTTAAAGGCAGCATATAGAGGATACATGTTCATGCTCTGTGGAGCTCTGGATGATAGCCAAGAACTGACAGTGCCGGAAAGTACCAGGGACATAACTTATCCCCCAGTTTGAACAAATTTACTCTAACACATTTATAATTCTTCCTAGTTGAAATAAAGCAAATATTTGTCAAACTACACCCTAAGGTATTTTTAAAAAGTAATCAAACCATTCCAGGTTAGATTTTCTATATGCCAGGAATAAACATTTTTTTCAAGAAGATAGTCATCACTTTAAAAATAAAAACAGATCAAACTGTAAGGTTAGAGTACCTTAGGGTGAAGTTATTTTCATAGTTATATAGTTTCAGCCTAAGACTACTTTCATTTTTAAAAGCCTAAATAAAATATTGAATGGGTTAGTGTCAATATGAAATGCAAACAGTGCTATCAAAAATGTGGTGGCTTTTATTTGGGGTGTGGATTTCCTCACCCAACACCACCCTTTCCCCCAAAGTTGAGTATTTGCTTAGAAGTTCAAAGACAGTTATATAAAAGCTGTCTTCAAATACAACACTTACACAAACAGGAAAAAATAAGATAAAAGATTTGGGGGCAGTGGGATGGAGTACTGTATGATTAACTATCCTGAGCTCAAAATGTTTAGGCAAGGTTTAATCTCCATTACCTTGCAATTGGATTCCCCATCAAGACTTGCAGTAGTAACATAACAGGTTCCATCAATTGTGCAGGATGACAGAAGAATAAGATCACAGGGAAAGGTTTCATCTGCCTGTACTTCTACTACATCACCGACCTAGCATAGAGAGCAAAATAAATATAAATATTCTTAATTCCAAACAAAGCATTCATTATACCTCAAACTAAAGTCAAAACAGTAGCAAAAGACCTCTCCTCCTCTAGGGCTTAGGCTGTCTCAGCATCCTATACCATGTGAAAGGTCATGAAAGAATATCACTCAACATTCAGAATCCTCTTTAAGGTCACAACGACTTAGGATGCTTTTAGATTACCTTAGTATTGAACTTTAATCTCTAACAAATGATTTCAGCACCCAGGGACCCTTTTGCTCTCTGTTGTTTCTGGCATTGGTGTTTGATAAGAGAATGGCCATTATCATTTCATGAATGAATCAAGAAAATCTACACATCTTAACTTGAGCACTTCATGAACACTGGTCAGCCACATTCCCACTCTGCATCATAGATAAATATCTCAAAATGCTTTGCCTTCCAAGTGATAACAGCTATTATTTTGGGGTCATAGTTCTCTCTTCAGTGCTCAGAAAATCTCGCTTAGAGACGTGTTTATGTTACCCATAACATTTGAAAAAACTTTTTTCAAATAGGTCATTTTCCAACAATTCATCTGCTATGAGCAAGTACCCTAAGCTCAAGTAGAGGAAAAACATGAGAGAAGAAACCACAAACCATTTCTAGCGCATAACTTAATAATGTAGGGAATAAATCATGATGATTAAAACACAGATCTTCACTACCTGACTTTATGTCCCAGCTCTGCCACTTAACTATATGACCTTAGGTTAAGTGTCTTTGATGATTGCAACTACCTCATAGGATTGGCTGGAGTATGAAATGAGGATACAGGTAAAGTGTTTCGTAAAGTGCCTGGCATATATTCACCCTCTGGTAGTTGCTAATTATAATTATTACTAATACCCTACAACTGCTTTACTTACTTCCAACTTATGAATAGTCATAAAATTTTTTTAGAAGGATATAAGAAATTATCCAGCCCAGTGCATTCCAACATTTTCCATGCCGTGGCACACACAGAAAACGATAAGTAACACTTTTGTACAGCACTTCCAGATAAAGGGAGGAGGCTGCTGGTGACAGAAGACAACCCACTTTAGGAGAGAGTCAGTCACAATATCCGGCTCACCAACTCTGGCACACTGGTTGTGAAATGCTGAACTAACAAATGACACACCTGCCTTCCAATTGCTACACACAATTTGGCAGATGAAGATGAGGATTTCAAGGTCTATTCAGGAACAATTTTATTTTCTTTGCCAATCTTAATCAGTAGCCAAGAGCAACAGCATCAATAATGGAACTAATTTGTAAATAATATTTTATTTTCTTGGATCTTTCCTTCCTCACATACACAAACACTTCTGTTGCTTACACAAAGCCACAGTCTATGCTTATATACACAGAAGAAAAATAACAAACAAAATCCTAAAGCATCTTAGAAGAACGGAACATGATTCTCAGGCACTGATAAATAAAAACCACAAACAGAATTTCTTCTACAACACTGATAATGATTCGCTCAGAAATGAAAAGATCCCTGCACCTGGAGTGCAAGTTAAGGCTGGTAAGATGGACAGGGGCCAGATCACAAAAGTCCTGACAGGTCAGGGTCAGGGGTTTAGGCCTCACCCTGAAGGCAAGGGGAGACTGGGAAAGGACTTTTAAAGAAAGGGAACGACATGGTCCAGTTAGACAATCAACTCTAGAGTTGTTTCCACTTAGCATGTACAAAGCCACAAGAGAACACCACTATCCCTTGTCATAAATATTAGGAAAAGCCAGATAATCAACAGAATCATATTTTTTGGGAGTTCATCAGAGAGCTGAGGTTGCAGGGCAACCAAATGAACTGAATTTCAAGGGTGAAAAGTCCCTCTGAGGAGAGAGAGGAGAAATAAACTGTTTCACAATTGACGAAGCACAGGAGGAAGAGACGACTGCCATAAAAGTGCCTAGGAAGAAGATAACTAGATTTTTAACCAACTGTAAAAGGCTTGGTAGGGGCCAACGTGACAGTTTCAAACCTCTGCAAGCCTGAGAGAAAAGAGGAGACCATAAGCACATATCAGTTCTCTATAGGCATCCACTGAGTGCTCATGAGATAGCACGAGGACAGGAGGCCTAAAAGAGCCTTCCTCACCGGTACAGGCATACAGGTTGTGAATGACTGCTGTGGAGGAACAGACATAAAATATGCTACAACTGTGGACCCTTCTCTCATATGAGGTAAAAGCCATCTGTGCCTAAGAGAAAGGCAAGAAACCCTCCCGGGCACAGTCTCAATTCAGGGTAACGTAACTACTCCTAGTGGGGAGATAGAAGCAAAGCCATCTGCTGCTAGGGATGGGACAGGAAACCCCCTCATATTGAGGACCTAGCACTGATATAAAGGAGAGTACTGAGAAAGTTCCACCCTGAGGCAAAGGTGCCTAAAACCTGCCTAATACTGAGATGGAGTAGGAGAACCAAGAAACCAGTCTGTTCCCACCAGGAACCCCAAGAAAGAGCAATCTACCACTGGGGGAGGAGAAAGGGCGTAGAGAGAGGCATTCACTGTGTCTCAGGAATGTAGGACCTGCTGAAAGCAGAGAATGGAACAGGGACACTGAGAAAACCCCTGTGGCAGCCCAGCATTGCAGGCATTTAAAGTCCAGTGGTGTACTGAAAGCATCAACAGCTACAGCAAAATCCAAAGCCAGCCAACTGCTTACCAGACTGACTCAACCCCCAACACTGATGGGCTGGCTGACAGAATAGGTGTGCCCACTACAGACCGCAAATACAGGTTACCTGCCTCGATCTCCAGCATTCTTTTACATGCACTGCCCAAAATTCAATTAAAAAAAAATGAGATGCACAAAGCCAAGACAAAAATGACCTATCATCAAAAGATACAGGTGTCAATAGGACGAGCCTCAGAAATACTCAGATTTTGGGACTTCCCTGGTGGCACAGTGGTTACGAATCCACCTGCCAATGCAGGGGACACGGGTTCGAGCCCTGGTCCAAGAAGATCCCACATGCCGCGGAGCAACTACGCCCGTGTGCCACAACTACTGAGCCTGCACTCTAGAGCCCGTGAGCCACAACTACTGAGCCCACATGCCACAACTACTGAAGCCCGCGTGCCTAGAGCCCGTGCTCCACAACAAGAGAAGCCACCATAATGAGAAGCCCGCGCACCGCAACAAATAGTAGACCCCGCTCGCCGCAACTAGAGAAAGCCTGCGTGCAGCAACAAAGACCCAACGCAGCCAAAAATCAATAACTAAAATAAATTTTTAAAAAAAGAAATACTCAGATCTTGGAATTATGAAACAGGGATAGAAAAACAGCTATGGTTAAGATATTAAACTATTTACTGGAAAAGGTAGACAACATACACATGCAAATGAGGAATTTGGGCATAAATATGGAAACTCCCAAAAAAAGGCAATTGGAAAAGTGAGAAATGAAAAACATGATATCAGAGGTAAGGATTTCCTTCAATGGGCTTATAAGCACACTGGATACAAAGGAAATAATCAGTAAACCTGAAGAAACTCTTCCAATATTTCTAATGCCAAAACCCATACTCTTTCCCTTACAAATACCTGTGTTTTTCCATTGGAATTCCTCAAGGCCTGTTTCTCTTCTCTATGTTTTATGTGATTCCATCCAAATTTCTGTATCCACCTAAAACATCTCTGAGCTCCAGGCTTGACAATTCCATCTGGCTGTCTAAACGGAATCTCAAAATTAACATGGCCTGGGACTTCCCTGGTGGTCCAGTGGTTAAGACTCTGTGCTCGCAATGCAGGGGGGCCAGGATCGATCCCTGGTCAGGGAACTAGATCCCGCATGCCACAACAAAGATCCCGCGTGCCGCAATTAAGACCCAGCGTGGACAAACAAACAAACGAATAAATATTAAAAAAAAAAATTAACATGGCCCAAGCTGAATTCCTGATTTCCCTTCATCCCCACCTTTTCCCCCAAACCTATTCTTCTCCAGCTTATTTAATAGCACCAGCATTTAAAAAAAATTAATTAATTAATTTTGGGCTGTGTTGGGTCTTTGTTGCTGCACACGGGCTTTCTTTAGTTGCGTCGAGTGCGGGCTGCTTTTTCTCGTGGCGTGCAGGCTTCTCATTGCAGTGGCTTCTCTTGTTGTGGAGCACAGGCTTCAGTAGTTGTGGCATGCGGGCTCTAGAGCTCAGGCTCAATAGTTATGGCACACGGGCTTAGTAGCTCTGCGGCATGTGGGATCTTCCCGGACCAGGGCTTGAACCCATGTCCCCTGCATTGGCAGGCGGATTCTTTTTTTTTTTTTTTTTTTTTGCGGTACGCGGGCCTCTCACTGTTGTGGCCTCTCCCGTTGTGGAGCACAGGCTCCGGACACGCAGGCTCAGTGGCCATGGCTCACAGGCCCAGCCGCTCCGCGGCATGTGGGATCTTCCCGGACCGGGGCACGAACCCGTGTCCCCTGCATCGGCAGGCGGACTCTCAACCACTGCGCCACCAGGGAAGCCCCTAGCACCAGCATTTTGTTTAATAGCACTATTTTATGCACCTAGTTGCTCAGGCCAAAATCAAGGAGGCTATCTTTATTCTATTTTGCTCTTTTTCTCCCTCCTTACATGGAATACATCAGTAAGTCCACACTTTACCTCCGAAAAACATCCTGAATACATACATTTATTTTGATCACGAGACAGGAGGGACAAAGTTGTGCTTACGAGCATGGATGCCATACCCAGACTTGCTTCAATTCAAATCCCAGCTTTCCCACTTACTAGTTGTGGACAAGTTTCTTAACCACCCTATGCCTCAGTTTCATCATTTGTAAAGAGGGGATAACAAAAGTACCTATTTCATAGGACTGCTGTAAAGTAAGGATTAAATGAGTTAATAGAATGTAAAAGGGAGTGCCTGGCATATTTATGTAACATATAAATGTTAACAACTATTTTTACTGTTATTATCTCTTCTACTATCATTCTAATATAAGCTCTTATCATCATTTGCTTATGCTACG